TACTGGTGCCTTTACTGGTAAAAAACTAGCCCAGCTCCCACTTACCCAAGAACACACCACAGGGCTTCCAATGTCTCTAAGCGCTGCCGGGGTCCCAGGGCCAGATTGAGAGGGCAGGCCCTGCTGATGGCCATCCACCACAGGGGAAGCTTAGGGACTGTCTACGGAGACTGAAAAGAGCCGCTGGCACCTCTGTCCATTTTTGTCCAGGGAAGAAGGGAGATGGGCGCCCCCCTCCTTGCCGCTCCAGGCGCCCACCCCCTCCCGGGGCCCTTAGAGCCGCTCTCCTTCCCTTCCCCCACAGCCTGCGCCCAGCTCAAAGCCTGCCCTCGCTTAGGAAGGAGTTGAACCGTCTCCCTGCTGGCTCATGACTAGTCACCCTAACAGATCCACCTGCTTGGAGGGGAAAAGTTACTGCAGAGAGGACCACACAGACCCACGTGATAACTCTTGAGTGCACAGTGGCAGGGAACCCTGGATTTGGAGGCTCCAGCCCAAGGCTCTAAGTTGGAGCCCCAGCTCTGCCACAAAACCAAGGTACAATCCTAGGTAAGTCCTAATTTTCTGAGCCTCAGTTTTCCTATCTGTAAATTGGGAGTCAAAATACCCACCACCAAATTGCTTGAAGCCTCAGCCTACTGATTTTCTAAATGTCAAAATGCTTCACACGCTTGATGGTTTAGAAAACCCCCTACAACTGTTAGGGGTTTGGACACCTGGAACTCACTGTGGGGCCTGGGACACACCAGGGTCTCAGTTTTTCCATTTGCTCGTGGGATAAATTATTATTTCTTCTCTCAGAGATAAAATTTTAAGTCAGCGAGGGCTCCAAGGTCTTTGATGCTGCAGAAATACAAGTGCTGCTAAGGCCCTGGTCTCCACTGTCAGGCTACGGCCTGCATCAGCAGAAAGACAGTGGCAGCACCTGCCATCTTCTGAGTGAGCACGACGGGCTAAGCACCTCACAGATGTTTTTGGTAGCAACAAAACCCATTTTATAATTGAGGCACCTGAAGCTAAAGGGCGGAAGCAAAATCCCACAGAAGGTCCACATGCCTCCAATTCCAAAACCGCAGCACAAGGACCCTGGAGAACAGGCAGCTTCCCCGCAGGTGCACCCAATCCCATCAGCCCTGTCTGCTGCTGGGTGCTGGGGGACAGCCTCCACTTCTGCTGGGTTCCTGCAGGCAGCTCTGGAGCGCCCAGAGTCCAAAGGTTAGTTAAAGGCTGTCTGTTACTATGAATTATAAAAATTCACCAGCAGTTGGGTTTGGTGAATGCAGTGGTTTCATGCTTTCAAGCGACCCCAGCTTACAAGTGAGCGTCACCAGTTTTGCAAAAATCCATTCTACGTGGTGTAGAACTGTCCCCCTTAGTGACCCGATTAAGGGACAACACTGGGTAAAGGACAAGAGGCAGTACACCCTGAGCCAAACTACCACTTCTGTTCCACCTGGCGGCACACTGGCTGCAGCTGGTGGGTGAGCAAGTTCACCGTCTTTTCTGGGCTGCCCTCCAGCGCCAGCAGTGCGGTCCACACACTGGGGTCCACACCCCAGCCCACCTCCACCTCACACCCTGCCCCTGCTCCAAGCTCCGGGAACGCTTGGGGCAGCAGCTCTTGCCCTTGTTTCTTGGAGTGCATGGGTCACCCCTGTAGCAGAATAACCACAGCAATAGTAACAGCAGCAAATGCCTGGATAAGAACTTCCCCCCACCGCCCCCCATGGCAGACAGTGTCTGAATTTTCCAGGTAACCTTTTTTATCTAATCTTCTTAGTACCAGGTATGATTGTCAGCAGCAATTTATAATTCCCGAAGCTGAAGCACAGATTGGCTAAGTAGCCTGGCCAGGATCACGCAGCACATCTGTACACACCTGAAGGAAGAATTTGATGGGAGGCTGAGAGAGGTGTCACAGCTGATGGAGTCTGCCCACCACACTCTCCCTTTCCTAAATCCCACACAAGCTGTGCTCACGACTCAAAGGAGGAACTGCCCCCACATCCAGACAGGCCCCAGGAGAGCTGCACCATCGTCCCCACAAGCAGCACCACGGCCATGATACTAACATCAGCTCCCACTAACTGGAATCTAGTATACTCCAGACACTGTAATATATACATCACTTCATTGAATCCTTTTAAACCTGGGAGGTAGGTGTTATTCTTTTCCCACTTTGTAGGTGAAAAAACTAAGCTCAAAGAAAGTTCTAGTATTTGCCAGAAATCTCCCAGCTCAGAAGAAGCAGAGATAGGATGCAAAGAGGGATCTGTCTAACTCCACCTTGCACCCAGCCTCTGAAACCAAGCCCATGGAGACAAAAATGTCTTCAAAAGTCCTGACATGGGACTTCTCTGGTCATCCAGTGGCTAAGACTCTGAGCTCCCAATGCAGGGGGCCCAAGTTCAATTATTGGTAAGGAAGCTAGATCCCACATACCACAACTAAGACCCAGAGTAGCCATATAAATAAATAAATTTTAAAACAAATATTAAAAAAGAAAAAAAAAACAGTTCTGGTGCCCTGGCCCACTCAGCTAAAAGGCTCTGTTCTCACAACGCAGCTGGTTCCCATGATCCTGTCAAAACCTCCGCAGACAGATTACTGCTTCCCTGCGGGCAGGGTTTGGTCTCCTCCCCACCCCCACCCAGTGCCTTCACATAATGAGGTATGGGTAAAGCTTATGAAGGTCAAGAAGCAACAGTTAGAACCGGACATGAAACAACAGACTGATTCCAAATTGGGAAAGGAGTATGTCAAGGCTGTATATTGTCACCCTGCTTATTTAACTTAGATGCAGGGTGCATCATGTGAAATGCCAAACTGGATGAAGCACAAACTGGAATCAAGATTGCCGGGAGGAATATCAATAATCTCTGATATGCAGATGACACTACCCATATGGCAGAAAGCGAAGAGGAACTAAAGAGCCTCTTGATGAAAGTGAAAGAGGAGAGTGAAAAAGCTGGCTTAAGACTCATATTCAAAAAACTAAGATCATGGCATCTGGTCCCATCACTTCATGGCAAATAGATGGGGAACCAATGGAAACAGTGACAGAGTTTATTTTCTTGGGCTCCAAAATCACTGCAGATGGTGACTGCAGCCATGAAATTAAAAGACGCTTGTAAAAAAATAAATAAATAAAAAATAAAAGACGCTTGTTCCTTGGGAGGAAAGCTATGGACAACCTAGACAACATATTAAAAAGCAGAGACACTACTTTGCCAACAAAGGTCCGTCTAGTCAAAGCTATGGTTTTTCCAGTAGTCATGTATGGATGTGAAAGTTGGACCGTAAAGAAAGCTAAGAGCCGAAGAATTGATGCTTTTGAATTATGGTGTTGGAGAAGGCTCTTGAGAGTCCCTTGGATGGCAAGGAGATCAAACCAGTCAATCCTAAAGGAAATCAGTCCTGAATATTCATTGGAAGGACTGATGCTGAAGCTGAAGCTCTAATACTTTGGCCATCTAATATGAAGAACTGACTCATTTGAAAAGACCCTGATGCTAGGAAAGGTTGAAGGTGAGAGGAGAAGGGGATGACAGAGGATGAGATGGTTGGATGGCATCACTGACTTGATGGACATGAGTTTGAGCAAGCTCTGGGAGTTGGTAATGGACAGGGAAGCCACACGACTGAGCGACTGAACTGAATTGAAAACTTATTCATCCTCTGAGTATCTTAGTTGTTAAAAAGTATATCAAACCATTGCCTTTAAAAAAGACATCTAGAGATTAACGTTCATCAAGCCTGAACAAAATAAGTTTGCTAATTTATCAAGAAATGACACATCTCAGAAGTTGGCTACACTCACTCACTTGAGCTCCCATGAGACTAAAGCCCGGGTGAGTGTGGTCAGGGCAGACCAAGAAAAGGAACATTCCCTCCGCAGGCTGCCAGGCTTGGTCCCAATCCTGGAAGCCCAAAGTCCTGCGGAGGAAGGAAAGTTGTCTCTATTACCAGACGGTTCAGCACAATTTGAAGGCAGCAAAAATGTCTTTGAATGGAAAGAAAAAGTACAGGGTTCTGCTGGAATTTTGCTGCAGAACAGAGAGAAGTTTCGGCTTCAATGAATGAGCCACCCATTCTGAAAGTTCTCTGAGACATTGTCTGGTTCCTCACTGTCGGCTCCTTGGCCTGCGTTCAAGACTCCCTCTGACCTTGAAGATCTCTTCCCAACTGCTCTCTAAGCTAACACCCCCCACCCTGTTTCTGCCCCAGCAGGGCACCTCAGCCTCTTGGCTGGTAGCTCAGTGACCGTTGTTCCAGGGCACCCGGCAGAGAGGCGCCCTACTAACATCTGTCTTAGCAGGGGACGGGGCTGCTAGTGGAGCCCCGAGACTCGTGCCGGGCCCAGAGCGCGTGTTCCACACCTAACAAACCTGTCCATGCTGGATCAGAGCTGAGTTCACCCTGGCATGGACCCCTGGCAAGAGCCTTGAGCTAGTAGGAGAAGAGGAGGTCAACCCACAGAAGAAAGGACAGGGAATCCGCCTCTGGACTGAGTGGCCATCAGCTGTGTGAGGATAATAATAAGATAACAGTGAATCCTCACAGCTGGAAACCAGGCCGGTTCTCTCACTGCCCAGCACCTCTCTCCCCCACTATCCAATGCATTACATTCTCACCCTTGGCTCTTTCCGGAGTCCCACAAAAGCTTCTTATCTTCCAGTGAGTCTGCCTTTTCAACAACCATCCGACAGCAGCAAGCTTGGAGACATGCTTGGGATGCGAGAAATGGCTACTTGAGAGATTTGCTCTTCCGGAAGCAGACTGGGCTCCTCCCAGCCATGAAGCAGAGGCCGGGCATCAAGCAACTCTGTACCTGACCCTGAGAAGTCCCCCGCCGACCAAAGCTCTCTGTCCTTTGGCACTTTGGCCTCCTGGGGGAGGCAGACCCCCTTGAAGAATGGCTAATGTGGCTACTTCTAGTCAAAGCCAAACAGCTGGGAACAGAATGAAGGGAAATCACAGAAAGAATGAAACCGACTTACATGAGAAATGGATGGAGAAAGGGGGCTTGCTTCCAAGAACGGGGACCAGTGAGGAATCCAGGGAAGCGTGGAGGCCAGCCTGGAGGAGGGGGCGCTGCAGGTGCCTCTCCTGCCCTCTCCATGGTCTTCCGGGACGCCACTCAACAACCTGCACACACACGGCCCCGGCGCCCGCAGAGCTCTATCTACTGCCCGATCTCGCGGCCGCTGAGCTAGATTCCACCAGCTCAGCTCTTTTGCAGAAAGGGGGTTGTTTTGCTTGTGCACCATTCTCTCCACAAGGGTGGTCATGCCCGCTGCCCGTCTTCCGGGGTCTTCTCTCACACAGCCGCTCTTCTTTCTCTGTAGGAGTGTTCCCAGGCCCTGCCGTCTCAAGAAACTACAGTGACTCTGCTCTAATCACTGTCCTGACCCCATTTCACAGAAAGCAATCGGCAACCCAAGACCCAGTGGGCTGACGTGGGAGGGGGCTCCTTCCACTTACAGGAGCCATTTGGGGTCCCATGGGGAGGCCGTGCCGTTCAGAAGGGCATTTCCCCGCACAGGGCTGGGTTCAAACTTGCCGCGCGCTAAAGTTGCCGCCAGCACAGGCTGAGGCCCTGCATGGTCAGTCCTGAAATTAGCGACCTGGGTGTTTTTCCTGTCGCGCCTCTTGCTAAGGCCCTGCAAGTCTCCCCTCAACAATGAGAACAGAATGTGCTTGGCTGCAGACCTGGCCATCATAAATTGCTAATTACAGACTCTCAATCTGAAAAACAAAATCACAGAAGGCCTGGCCCTTCTTTTCTGCTCCTCTCATCCACACCACGGAGAAGGCAATGGCAACCCACTCCAGTACTCTTGCCTGGAAAATCCCATGGACGGAGGAGCCTGGTGGGCTGCAGTCCATGGGGTCGCAAAGAGTCGGACATGACTGAGTGACTTCACTTTCACTTTTCACTTTCATGGATTGGAGAAGGAAATGGCAACCCACTCCAGTGTTCTTGCCTAGAGAATCCCAGGGATGGCGGAGCCTGGTGGGCTGCCGTCTATGGGGTAGCACAGAGTCGGACATGACTGAAGCGACTTAGCAGCAGCAGCAGCATCCGCACCACTATTTCCACAAGACCAAGAAGAGAAAGAGATGTCTCCTCTGGCCACAGGGGAAAAAACTGCTCCCCACAGGCTCACTTCTCCCCATCCACCTGTCTTCAGGCACAAAAACTGGGCCCCGAGGAGTCTGAACAGGAAACGTCTGTTTTCCAAGGTCCCTCCTCGTCGCTAACCTTGATTTATCCTCAGATTTATTGAGCACCTGCTAAGTGCCGAGCTCTGCACACCTAACTGCGAAGGCACCCTGAGTCCCATTCACAGGCGGGGGTCACTGGGGACTACCTCCTGTGCTCACCCCGGGGAGGGCGATCGACAGCAGGCCGCCGAGAAGCCAGCTCTCTGTCCCTCCCCGAAAATGTTCCCTGCCCTCTGCAAAGGGGCTGGGAGAACACAGCAGGAGTGAAGCTGGACAAGAGCAGAGAGCCAGGAGTGGCCATCTTTGAAAAGAGCAACAGTAAAAGGCAAATGTGATTGTGGCTAGGTATACATTATAGAAATCGTGTTCGGTGTACTGGTTATATGCAAATTCTATGTAAATATGCACAAAGCCCTCAGAAAAATCCAAGTGTTGCCCCTACTTGTTCTGCCTGTCTCTTTCTCAAGCTGTTTCCAGGGTTACCTAGGAAGCTACTACCTGACCACCTGGCCAGGGTGCCGCAGAGTACTTTCCCAGTCCCATCTTCCAGCCTATCAACTTTTCTCCTTGACCCCTCTCCAGGAAGGCTACCTGAGAAATGTTGAGTACAGAGGAGGGAGACAAAACGGGGCCATGCCCGTGCGGAGCACAGCCAAGGTAGCAAATGAGGGAGGGGAGGAGGGTGGTGGCCTCTGCCAAGGCAACTATCCTTCCAGATCTGGGCGCAGGATGGGCCCCCTGCAGCTGCCAAGAGATCCTCAGAGCCCAGGCATTCCCTGATGCCCCTAGTGCTGTGTCTCAGCACTTCCCTCCAGTGACTACCACACTCTGCCAGAAAGCACAACCCACTGCCTCAGTTTACGGACAAGGAAAACGCAGCTTAGAGAATTTAGGTAAACGGCCCAATATCAAGGTTCAAAATCCAAAAGCTTCCAATCCAGAACTTTCTGACCCTAAGACTCCATGGTGTTTTTACCAAACCATCCTGCTTCTCTATGAGTTGAAGAGCATTCCAGAGTGAGATTGAGTGGTTCATATTGTACTGGTGTGGGAGGAGAAAGACAGATACCAGACCCTGGAGCAGGCTAGGGATGAGCCCAAACCCCTTCACCCGCGGCAAAGGCCCTCTGCGGCCTGGCCTCCAGCTTTGAGGCTCACAGACCCTAATGCAGGTGCGAACAGGTGCCTTCACACCTCAGGGCTGCAGTTCACAAGATTGCTCCTGCCTGAAAGGCCCTTGCTTACATTCTTGAGCAGAAAACGCCCAAACCTCACTCCAAGCCCAGTTCAAATGTTGCCCCTCCTTGGACTTCCCTGGTGGCAGAGGCTGGGAATCCACCTGCTGGGGCAGGGAACACAGGTTCGATCGCTGCTCTGGGAAGATTCCACACGCGGCGAGGTCACGGAGCCAGTGCACCCCAGCCAGTAAGCCGGAGCTACAGCGCCTGTGCTCTGCTCCGCAGCAGGAGAAGCACCCTCAGCAAGAAGCCCGACCGCAGAGAAGAGAGCAGCCCGGCTCGCTGCGGCTAGAGAAAGCCTGCGCAGAGCAACGAAGACCCAGCGCAGGCGAAACAAAACGAAGGAAAGTAATTAATTAAACAAGGTTGCTCCTCCTTTATGAATCACTCCCTAAAAATCCTAGAAGAGCTGATTGCTTCTCCAGGGCGTTCCAGAGCCCTTGGACACCCCTGGTCTCGAGTACTTGACTGGACTGCAATTACTTGTTTACCTGTCTGCAGTGTCTCCTATCACCCTATGTTATAGATGAGGAAACTGAGACTCTGAGAGCTTAAGTTACTTGCCCAAGGCCACACAGGCCGTTTGACTCCAGAATCCTCCTGTCTGAGAGGGTGCTGCTATTCTTCCTTGCCTCCCCCATCTTCAGGGCAGTGCCTGGCCCCTGGCCCCTGGCCCGTGTCCGGTAAAGGTTTGTTTCCTTAAAGATACGGAGGGACGGGGTGACGCTGCGCTCTCCACTTCCACTCCAAAGCCTGCCTGCAGCCCTGCTTGTCACTCCACCTTCCACCACTCCTGACCTTGGCTGCCCTTCTTCCGAAAAGCTCCAGGGCCTTTGCTCGCTCCCGTCCATTTCTTCCTGCAGTGTCCCAGCCACTGCGAGGGTCTTTCTGTCTTTCCAATGGGAAACTGAGACCCACACTGAGACCCACAGAGGCCTCACGGACAGTGGATCTGTTCAGAGTCAGGTGTCCTGCCCCCACAGTAGTGCCCAATAGGGACTGCTTTTACCTCTGCCTCAAGCAAAAAATAAAAAGAGCAAGTCCCGAGATAGGGGAGTCTGGAGGTCGGCACCGGCCCTCCCCTCAGCCCAGCACCCTCTGGCTGACCTGGCCACTGGTCTGGGGCTGGCCTGCCGGGGAGGGGCTTCTCCCCGGGGCCAGGGCAGAGGAGACAAGAGGCCTTTGTGTCTGCAGCCTCCTGAGACACCTGTTCTCCCTCCTGCCCGCCTGTGGCCGCCCTCCCTCCAGGCTGGCCTGTGTGCGGCCTTGTTTACCCCACGGCCCTGGCAGCCAGAGCGGCCTGCTCCCAGCATGGGGCTGGGCGGCCCTGCCAGCACCTGCCTGGCCCTGCCGCCCGCCAAGCACAATCACCCTGCTGTTGACACAGTTGCTGATTTTCAGAAGGGTCGGGAGGGACGGGAGGGCAGAAGCAGCAAAGGTATTTTTGCGCCTGCCTGGCTAATTTGCAGTTGGTCCTAGCAATCCTGTACCCCATCCCTCATCCAGCCCCCCCCACTCCTTGCCCCCTGGCTGCCTGGGAGAGATCTGGGCTTCCAGTCCCGGGGTCACTTGGGTTTCCCACCCCAGGCAGCCCCTACACGTCTCATGCATATCAGTGTACCCCAAAACCCATGCTCCCCATGCTGCCACACACAATCCATAGCCAAACGAGGGGGCCAGGAGCCCCCAGCTACCCTGTCTTTGAGCACTCACCAATTGCCCTCCCTTGCAAAGTCACAATGCTCCAGGTCCTTGGTGAGGGACAGGATATCTGAAATGCCCTTGGAGACCCCAGTGGGGCCCTGGGAGATGTGGGGAGACCTGCCCTTACAACCTTCTCCCTGACTTGCTCTCAAAAAGCTGTCTCCTCACCTTCCAGGTCACTATGCTTCCTCTTACAGGGAGCCTTCCCTGACTGCCCAGATGTGGCTGTGGTGCCCTCCCCGATGCTTGGAAGCTCTGCAGCCCCCCCCGCTGCACCTCCCGACCTTCACTTCGTCAGTCAGTATCTAACTTTTACCTTCCTCAAAACTGTGTGATGGCCTCACTGGTCTCTCAGCCCATGTGCAGGGCACAGCTTTGAGGCCGCTCCCCTCCTACCTGCTGGATGGACGCATGATGGAGCAGAGCCCTTGGGCCAAACACCCACCCCACCTCCACTTCAGGTTCCCACTTGGACAGTCACCTCTTGGATTGATAAGGCCTGGTGGCCAGTTAAAAGGTCAGTTGAAAGAGCTTCAGGAATTACCTGTTAACTTGCCACCAGCACATGAATTTAGATGGGTAAATCTGATTAGCCAGTCATCTTCTAAGAGATCAAAGAGCAGGATCTTGAAGGACAAGGGATGAATGAGTCTGATGATGGGAGAGGGAGTGGGGAAGGCAAGGACACAAAGACCCAGTGGGTCAAAGGCCAGGGAAGGCACCTGGGGGAGAAGTTACTATTAGGGGAGGCAGGGACATTCCCTCTCCCCATTTCCCTGCCCCATCTGAGAGCCTCGACTCAGGACTCAGAACAGGAGTCTGCTGACTCCACAGGAGGCCGGCAGCAGTCACTCTCCAGACCCCCTAAAACTGCCAGGTACACACACACCCATGCTCACGTATAAGCACTTTCCTCAATCTGGTTCCCCAAACTCCAAGTCAATCAACACCTAGAGAGAGGAAACAAATATCGAAATATCACCTCCAAATTGCAAGTCTCAAGTTGAGTAGTATGGATCTAAGGGCAGGGAGGTCTGGTCAGGGAGAAAGGAGCTTACCTTGTGAAAACCACAGGTACTGATGCTCTACGCCAGTTCTGAAAGGGCCAGCATGTACAGCTGCACAACTGCAAGAACCCCATTCACCCAGACGCGTGTGCTTGTACGCCAACTTGAGAGTCAGGTTCATCCCTGACTTCCTCACACAACAAAGAGAAAAGTCTCCCCTGCCACCAACTTCTACCCCAAGCAAGATGCCCTTTCTCTGTTCTCTGCCCTGTTTCTTGGCTTGGGGCCTTGGGACAGCTGAGCCCTTCACCCCCACTAAGGGAGGAAGCCTTGATCTCCTGGTCTCACCAGCCCAAAGGAGGGGACCCCACTGACCTCCTCAACCCTAGCCTCCTGGTTGGGGGGTGGGGCTACAGTCCCCCCCCCCGCCCCAGTGACACAGGAGGAGACTGCGTCCCTGCAGAGAGGAGAGTGGTAGGTGATCGCCTCCCTGGTAGGCTAGAACTGAGCCCCCAGTCTGTGTGGGCACCAGAAACCCTGAAGAACTGAAGCTTGGGGGCAGGGGGGAGGGGAGGCTTCACTCTGGCTCCTGAGCACCAGCCCTGCTGGAGTCTCTCTCCCCTTGCCTCCTTGACACTGGTCTAATGTCCCCACTGTCTTCCAGGGGCTGTTAGAGGTACTGCCTGGTTCCCCAGGGCTGGCAGGCACGGGCTTACACGCGTTTACACGCTCTTCCACACACCCTCCCTCTCCACCGGCCAAGGACAGGGGAGCCAAGCAAGTCAGAGAAATGGCAGGCGCTGGAGGGCCCCTCCCTTTTGCTTTCAGCGGCTCCCCGCTCACTCCCCACTGTCCGCGCCCCACTGGCCCCAGACAGCCTGGCTGTACCTGCAAACAGGCGTCCTTCCAGCCCCTCCCCACTAACCTTTTATTTGCTTCTTACCCACCCTACCCCACCCCACCCCACCCCACCTTTCAAGGGACGGGCCCGGAACCAGAGCCTTGCAGGAATGGCTGAAAGACTTCAGGCTTCTTCCTCTGGGCTGGGGTGAGGGTGCTGAAGCAAGGCTGGGTCAGAGCGGCACACCCGGGGTGCACGGGCCGGCCTGTGTGGCCAGGTAGGACTTGATTCTTTTGAGTCAGCAGGAGGGCAGCTTTGGCCAGAGCTCACTCCCTTTCCCGCCTCCTCCCAGGTGCCAGAAGTAGGAGGCCTACAGGCCCACAGCCCACGGTGGGGGCGGAGGCGGGCCTGCTCAGCGGTCATCCCGAAAGGGTATCAGCCCAATGTTACAGGCCTCTTATATTTCCAACTATCACCCCTCCTACCATTCTCCTTCAGCAGAATATTCTAGTGTTGGTCAAGCCTTGATTTCCAGTCTTTCAGAGAAGAAACACGGACCACTTTTTCCGTTTCGCTGTCTGGCAATTCTACAAATATTTAAAATCCTTTCCATTCTGATTATGACACCTATTGTTGTACTACCTTTGGAAACTAAAGAAATATAGGAATAAGAAAATATAAGCCACAATGAAAACGGAAGTCAAAAACACAACACAGAAGTCAAGAAAGGATGGAGGTCTGGGGTGGGCTACTCCCAGCTACTGGTACTTGGCTTGCTGTGCGCTTTGACTCTGACTGCTCACTGACCCTCGTCTTGGACTTAGAAGGAAATCCCCCCACCCTGGCTGCTCCCCAGGGCACCCACTCGTGCCCACTCAGCGCAGGCCCTGAGGCTGGAGTGGGGCACCTCCAGCCCTGCCAAGGAGCAAGCAGGACCCAACCCTGAGGCCCCTGCCCCTCCGTGGGGGAGGGTCGGACGGGACCAGGCCCTCTGGAGCTGGCTCCCACCCCTTCCTGTTGCACAGGCGGCACATTCCATTCCGAGTCAAGCGAGGGGCGGGCCTAGCGGAGGTGAGGCCGGGGAGATCAGTCTGGCCTCCTTTGGGGTGGGGCCCCGGGAGAGTTACAGGTCTGGCAGGGATTAGGGACCCAAGCCACCAGAGAAGGGAGCCTGAGTGGGCGTGCCCTATCTGCAGCTCCTTCGCGTTACCCTCTCTGCAAGCCGAAGCACTGACACTCTACCTCGGACACGTCCCCAGAAGACACAGAGGGACCGGACGGGGAGTAACGCTAAACCATCCCCCCTCAACCAGGCCGGGGCTGCTTATGGATGGGGCTTCATGCCAAGGCCATTTAAATGCTAAGGCCACTGATGGTGGGAGGGGAGTCTGCTGGATGTATCAAGAGAACTGAATTAAGATTTGATGGCATGTGTCAGGCTTCCCAGAGTGACCAGGCAGGCCTAGGCAGTGATGCTATTTAAGGAAAAAACATGGCAGCTAGAGATACTGCCCTCACTTCTTCCTTCCTCTCCTCTACGACCCCAACATCCCTCCCCCATAAAAACACTACTGGCTGGTATCATCAACCTCTGGAGGAGATCCCAACCGTTGCTGCTCCTCTAGCTTGTCCTCATGTGCACACCTGAGATGCTGGGCCCCACATGGCACATCCTGGGCTGTGCCCAGGGGCCTTGGATTCACCCCCTGATGACCCTGGGAACAGGCAGGGGATACTCTGGCCACTTTCTCCTCACCCCCCCAGCCTCTCAGAGTTCTGACCACTTCACTTTGGGCAGAGATGTGTTCCTAGGGGAACCACAAGGGCCTTCACCATCATGAGGCCTGAACAGGGTCAGTCTCAGGGCTCTCTGGCTAGGCCCGTGGATGCAACAGGTCCTAGAGCTGAACCGAATGTCCCATCCACCCTCTTAGGAGGGAACTACCATATCACTGATGCTTAGAGAAAGTATTTGAATTTTTAGAAGGAAGAGTCACTCCTGATCAGAGAAGCTGGCAAAGGTGGATGTGGTGCTGCTGAGCTGGTTTGTAACAAATCTCCTACCTGAATCTTCCCAAGGAACTGGAAGGTAGGTCAAGGAAAGGGCAGTCAAAACAGGGGTAACCCAGGGCATGCTTTCCTGCTTGGGAGCGGGGAAGACAGGCAGATGACAGGAGATGTGAAAGCAATCTTCCATGTATCCTGGTCCCCCGAGTGGTGACAAGCACTGTGACAGCCTTCCTGGCTAACATACCTGAGTTCCAGGAAGAGGACTAGCAGAGGGTGAGGATCACAGCGAGTTCAGGCAGGAGTGAGCCCTCTTAAGCAAACACAGAATACAAAAATAATTCCCATTCAAAGCACAATTTACTGTGGGTCTGGCCAGGCCTTCCTTCCCAGCACAGAGCCCTTTTCAAACACTCAGCTTCACCCCTGAATAAGGCTAGGGAAGGGGCATCTGGGCACAGCTGCATTTGAATTCCCCTTTTTCCAGTTGCATCAGCTTCCTAGTGACCTACTCAGGGAGCTGCCCAATAAGGGCCAGATTCAAAGAACCCTCAGAGAGCAGAAAACCTGCATAGAATCAGGTGTTAGCCCTCAAGGACGAGGACACCTAGATCCTCTGGAGGAGCAGGCCTTGCTCAAACAAACACTTGTCTGACAACAGGAAACCCAGATCCTTACCATTCATGGACCACCTACAGACTCAATCAGATGTGAGCCTCCCAAATTCTAACAGGGACGTATTGCTGTCATCCCATTTCATAGATGAGGAAATGGAGGTTCAGAGATGTTATGTTATGAACAGCTCTCCTGGCTCTAAATCCTTCTTATTGTATATATCATGTTGCCCCGAGGCTGCTAATTATCACAGTAGCAAAATGTTCAAATGTTCAGGATGGGGCCCTGCCTACTAGGAGGAAAGATGGGAATAAGGATGTAAATGAAACCCAAGATATTTCCAAAGCCAAGGCAGCACTGGAAATTGTCAGCATTATGGATCCCAGCATTCCTGATTACCAAATCTGAGCTGGAGGAGGAATGCCCTCTCAGCAAGTGCAGAGCACTGTTAGGCAATGGTGTGCTAATGAGACTCCCTGACCCTACCTCCAGAATCATCCCCACCAGGCCACCTTACCCAAGTCACCTCAACTCAGAAACAGCCTGCTGGCCAGCCTCTCTTCTTCAGTTCCTGTTCCCCTTCAAACTACTCTTTGCTTAGTAACCAAAGTGATACCTTTTTTTCACATTTTCCCCTACTTGTAAAAGTAATTCGTGACCATTGTAGAAGGTTGGAAAAATGAACAGAAGAAAAAGGAGAATCACCCATACATCTGGTGTCCAGAATTAACCTCTGCAAACATTAAGGTAATCATCTAGTCTTCTATGTATGTGTGTGATGTACATACCATTATCTTTACAAAACTGGTACTAAAATATAAAATATACAGTTTCAGATTTTTTTTATTATTATACATCTTTTCCGGGCTTACGCTATACTTTTTTAACTATGCTTTCTGGTTTTGAGTATTTTTTGGCAGAGTGGACATATACACACGGTACTATTGATACATTCAGGAAGGACAAAAGAGTCTACAGAGAAACACCATCTTCCCTTCATCCCACCCCTCAACCACCATTTCCCTCTCCTGGGGCAGCTCTGATTACCAAGTAACCTTTTTTTGTGTTCCAAATAATCTTTTAAAATCATAAATCAGAATGTCACTCCTCTACTGAAAAGTCTGGGACCACGGCCCTCGTCCTGAAATGCAGGCTCCTCACCAGGCCCTGGGTTGACCAGCCCCGGCCCTCCTGGCTTCTCTGGGCTCCCTCTCCATCTACACTGCTGCTGCAAACCCTGTTCTGGCTGCAGGGGTCTTTCTTTTGCTGTTCCCTCTGCTCCGAATCCTGTTCCTTCAGGTCTTTGTGCAGCGAGCTCCTTCTCATCCTTTAGGCCTGGACTGAGCTAGTCTTTCCCCAGGTCAGCTTCATTGGCCTCCCCACCCAGGATTTCTGCTGACGGTCCCCACACATACACTGTCTATCTCATCACTGTGTTGTATTTCTGAACATCACATAGGCTCTAATACTGTTTTGGCTACTTATTTCAAGATATTTATTGCCTCCCTCCAGAAAGAAGGCTCTCAGAAGGCAGGCACACTACCTGTCTTGTTCAACCCTGAAGCCCCGAGGCCTAGCACAGGCCTGGCATATAATAGGAGCTCAACACATTTCTTTTAAAGGGATGAATGAGGAGACTGAAATGCTGGTTCTCATCATGGAGAGCCCACTTGCAGGATCTCCAAGGACCAACTTCCTGGTCATCTTCTCCCAGGACTGGGGAGGGGGTTCGGGGGTCAGAGAAAGAAGAGAGAGGAGCCTATTGTCCAAGGCAGGGTGGGTGGGCAGCAGCTGCCTTGCTCTTCCTGTGGCCCAGCTCCCCCTTACTTGTGCAGTGCATTTGCAGGGTCCAGAATCAGACAAGGAGCTTATGACAAACCCAGATTCCTAGTGACCACTCCAACTGCAAGTGGAAAGTTGAAGGTGGAATCTTTGCACCTTACTTTCCCCAAATCCTACATCCAGTCTGCCCAGGCAGCTGGGATATTCCAAGTTCCCAAGTGAGCCCCAGCAGCAGGCAACACAGATGGCACCTTGGGAGCAGAGCTCCCCCAGGAACAGCCTCAGCCCATCCCACTTGACTCTTCCAAGGGCCTCAGACACCTGGGCTCCACTCTCCAGAAATTCACCCAGCCCCAGAGACAGAGATAGGCATCCAATCCTGAGCCAGGAGCCCAGGCCAGAGCGCTCTCAGGGATGCTCCCTTCCTGGGGCCTGATTTCCACTGAGAGAACACTGCCTCGAGCCAAGATTGATTTTTAAGAATGAGGAAAAGGAGGGAATAAAAATGCTTTTCACAAATATTGTGAAGGGAGGGAGGAGGGGAAGAGGTGAGGAAGGAGAAAAAGAAAGAAAAGAGCAAAAAGACTTCACAAGATACAAGGAGTGTTGTTGTTCAATCACTGTTGTGTCCTACTCTTTGTGACTCTTTGTAACTGTAGCCCTCCAGGCTCCTCTGTCCATGGCATTTCCCAGGTAAGAATACTGGAGTGGGTTGCCATTGCCTTCTCCAGGGGATCTTCCCAGGGACTGATCCTGCATCTCCTGCACTGGCAGGCAAATTCTTTATCACCGAGCTGCTAGGGAAGCTCACACAAGGAGTAGGGAGGTGCTAAAATCAGAAAAGAGTGGGAAGAAGTGTGAGGTTTTTACCCTTCCCAGAAATGGACAATAATTATAATTGATTAAATGAGCACAATCCCAGAATGTTCTTCTGAGCTATGTACAAAGTCAGTTAAGTAATAATGGCAATAATAAGTCACATTTCTCCAGCACTTACTATGTGCCAGGTACTATTGCATGAACTTCACTAAGACAGCCCCATGAAGTAGGTACTGTCCATATTAAACCTATTTTACAGATGAGCAAACAGATACAGGTCAAACTTCTCAAGATCATGTCTCCAGTAGCAGTAGCTGGGATCCAACTCTACAGCACTGTCTCTTAACCACTAAGCTAGGCTTTCGGTGTTCCAACTACCATCTTGGAGTTCATACCTTCCAAACCTGTATCCTTTACCTGATCATTAGACCCCAGTTTCAAAGATGTGTGCGTAACTGCCCATTTTACATGGGGAGAAATCTGGAAAAGTTAAGGGACTTGAGCAAGCAACCGCTGTCCATATGTGGGGAGTTAGTACCCCAGCATCTCCAGCCCCACTTCCCAAGGAAGCACAGTAGAAAGCAGGGTCTCTGGAAACTGCCCAGGGCAGCAGCATCTTCTCTGGCTGTCTTTCGCCAGATCCCTTCACCAGCGCCAAGGCGCCCTGCCCGGAAATTCCCACGGAGTCAAAGCAAACTTCCCAGGAAAACTCTTGGGCTTCCTCCTAGCCCCTGTCACTGAGGAGGCTGCCAAGAGCGCCGCCGGAGCCCTTGCAGCTGCCGTCGGCCCTCCAGGGCGGGAAGCCGCCGCTTGTGCGCTCGGGGTCTTCCCAGAAAGGTCTAGGGCTGAAGTTCAAAATTCACTTCCCGCCCTAGCCCAGCTCTCGGCTCTGACCTGGACTCTCCGGCAACCCCCTCTGTGTCTTGCCCTCCCCAGCTCCGGTTAAGTAATGGGGCACCTCCAGCCCAAAGACCAGGCGGGCAGATGGGAGAGTCCCGCGGGCGATCCCCGCGCGTCTGGGGACTCGAGCAGCCGGCGCGCACACGTGCGTGTGTGAGTGTGTATGCATGCGTGTGACTCGAAGCAGCCGGCGCGCACACGTGTGTGTGTGTGTGTGTGTGTGTGTGTGTGTGTGTGTGTGTGTGTGTGTGTGTGTGTGTGTTTACGTACAGAACGCGCGGGGTGGGAAAACAATGGCGAGCCGCTGGGAACAGAGCGTCTAGACCCCCTTCCCCCCCGCCCCCAGGCACGATTTGCTTTTGCAGAGAAATGGGGATGAAAAGATTCTCCTTCCACATGCAGAGGCGGGAGGTTGGGGGTGGTAAGAAGGCTAGGGTGGGAGGGGAAAGGGGGGTGAAACTGGAGCAGCCGGAGCAGAAAACAAACAGGATGCAGCGCCCAGCTGGTCCGCTGGGAAACGAACCTGGAAGGGTGAGAGAGGCTGCGTGGCCGGCCCCCCGCACCCCACATAAGCAGGACAGGGGCAAATCTGCGCTGCGGGGCGGGCACCGGAGCCCAAGCCGGGAAATCCTCGCTAGGAAATCCTCGAACTGGACGTACAAGTGAGAAAAACCAATGCCCCTGAGCAGTGGGTGAGAAGCGGGGGGCGGTGCACCCCAAGCCCGGCTCGTGTGGTGCGCACAGACAGCCACCCATGGCCTTTCCAGGCTTCCAGCCCTCTCCCACACCAGCCCAAGTCTGCCCGTGGGTATCCGCCAGTGCCCGCGTAGTGCGGGGTAGGTGGGGACCCGTTCCTTTGTGAAAAACTTTGCCGAGGATGGAAACTCGCAGAGAAAAGACCCAGCGTGTGCTCAGAAACGTCGGGTCGCGAGTGTCAAAACTTCGGAGGGCGGGCGAGAGAGACGCGACGGCGCGCTCCGGGCACGGAGGGGCGCACTTACGACTCAGCCGGGCGCCGGGCTCGCGGCTCGGCGCTCCCGCTCCTCCTCCGTCCGGGTCCTCGAGGCCGGCAGCCCGGGCTTCCCGTTCACATGCCCCAGCGGCGCGGCGGCCGGGAGCGCCGGGCCGGGGCGGCCGCGCCGGGAGGAGGCACGCCCCCCGCCGTCCGCCGGGCAGTCGGCCGGGACTCGCAGCCACCCCGGGTCCGCGCCCCGCCGCGCGCCGCCGTTGCGGGCGGAGAGCTCGGTTCCGGCCGGGCGGCGCCCTCGGCCGGGCCAGGCCGCTCCCTGCACTCTGCCCTCTGCCCTCGGCGCGCAGCCGGCTCCCGGCCTTCAGCGGTCCTGTGCTCGGACTCGCGGGCTCCGGCGCCGGCCCGCCCGGCTCTCCCACTCCGCGATCCGCGCCTCGGCTCGGTCCCCACTCACGGCCTCGGAGACTGATCGCGGCGCCCCAGGCTCAGACCCGGGCTCACCGCTCCCGGGCCGGGCTTCCAGAACCCGCACTTAACACAGTTCAGTTCCAAGCCGGGACTGGGAGCCGGGCGCTCGCTGCCGGTTGCTCTCTGCTGCGAGGCGACTCCACAGCCTCAGAGGAGAAAGAGGGAGGGAGACCGAGAGCGGGCTGGGGTTGGAGGAGGGAGGAAGGGTGGGGAGATGGAGGAGGAGGGAGGGACAGAGAGTTCCCTCCTCCTCCCTGCGGCCAGGTCCCTCCAGGCAGCAACAGCTGGAAACCTCTGCTGCAAAGGAAGAGCGAAGGTTCCTGGGCGGCGGACGCGGGTGGAGGTGGGTGAAGGGATGGAGAGAATAGAAGAAAGAGGTGGATTCCTCTCACTCTCACTGCCCAGGTATGAGGTCATTCCAGAGGATCTTCGCTCCTTAGAGCAAGACCCAAGAAGTTGTCGATCCAACGCCGAGCCTCCTAACCCCTCCAGACCGATAACCTGGACTTACAAACCCTGTTTCAGAACCTCCCTTAGGATCATGATCCCACCTGCAGCTGGACGGCTTCCTAATGTGTCAGACCACTCCCCAACCCTGTCATTCTGCACTCTCTCAAGTCCTTTATTTTTTCCCTGACCTGTTTGATACTGTGGGGGAGGGGAGGATGGATTCATTTGAATCAGTGTACTTATTAAATGCCTATGCCTGACCCAACTGAGTGCAAGGGACACCAGGATGAATGAGAAAGTGCCCTGTCCTTTCTGGCGGAGACAGAGGAGTGAACATATGATTACAGTGAAGTGGAAGGGTGCTGAAATCAGCCAGGCAGGGAGCATGGGGACCACCAAAAGTGCTAGGGCCTGGGACAGATTAGTCTTTCTGGGGGAGGTGCCATCTGAACTGGATCTTGGAAAACAGAGCAGATTAAAGGTGTGGCGATCTTGGATCTGCAAATAACACTGCTCACAGTGCAGGTGGCCAGGATCTCAGCTGATGGTCAGCCAGGCTCTAAGACTTTCTGAGGTTTTGGATTTCATCATTCCTCGCCATCTTCCTTGGCTAACTTCTCTTATTCATGTTTTAGGTCTCAACCCAGATATCCACTCTCCCAGAGCCTCTCCTGATGGCCAAATCTGGCTCAGAAAGCCCCCTGGCCCCCAGTCACAGATAGTATGGTGACTGTTCATTTGTCTGACTCCCCTGTAAGCGCTGCAAGGGCAGGAATGTGTATCTCAGGCTTACTGTTAGACTGCTTGTGTGTAGCCAGGTCTTGGCAAAGAGCAGCCCCGTGATAAATATTCATCCATCAGTTGGTTGATTGAAAGGAATAGGAAGTCACTGAGGAATTTTAAGCAGGCCTCTACTGAGATCAGTCCAACTAACTGAAGGCAGGGAGGCCAGTGACCAGACAGTGGTGGTCACCAGGGTAAAAATAATGTGGGCCTGAGCTAAGGAATGGGTGAGGAGAGTGGAAAGGAAGAAATGCGTGTGGTTGAGGAGGTAAGAAAAGTCAAAATTCATTCTTCAGGGACTGGCGTTTGGATGAAACCAACTGTGGGTGAAGCCATTTCAGAAACTATGGAAGTCTCTCAGTGCAACCAAGCTTTTCCTCCCCCCAGCCAACATGCCAGGGTTTCCCACGTATCAGGCTATCTTTGGCCGCTGATCAGCTTCAACGGGTAACCTCATTATGGACCCCTCCTTGTAGCTATCCTCAGTTTTAGCAAATGAGATAGGAAGAAAGGAGGGCTTAGGAAGTGGGCTTTCATCTCTCCAGTGCCCCGCCCCCCACTATATCTCAGTTCCCTGCTGTCCACTCTTCCCAATCACCGACACTTGAACTGGGATCTTCATCATATCTGCCTACTGTGTCTTAGGCATAGTACTATTTTCACGTATACTATCTGTTTGTACCTCATGCCAGTTCCGTGAGGGTGGTATCACTATCCCCATTTAGGTAAGAACGATGAATCTCAAGGTCATAGCTAGTAAGTGATGGGAGGAAGTAATCTGACTTTGAAGATTCTAGGACTTTCTATGCTTACCGCACTATTTCCTGGCAATACCAGACTTACACATTTAACCCCATGTGACCAGTCCCTCCTTAAAACACTCACTTCAAGATCCCACACTCTCCTGAATATCTTCTGACCTCGCTGCTCGCCCTTTCTCAGCCTACTCTGTTTACATTTCTCCCTCCACTGTTGTCTCCAGGCGAGTGTCATAAGGGCTCGCCTGAATCCCGGTTTCCTTTCTCTCTACTTTCTCTTCCTAGATGAAATTTTACCTGTTTCCATGACTTTAAATACCAATGAGGCATTGATGATTCTCCCAATTTTTTATTCAAATCTCTAGGACTGCCTAATGTACCTTGGATTCATGTATTCAACCACATGCTTGTCATTTCTACCCAAGAACTCACAGACATCCTAAACTTAACATGTTCAAAACTGAGCCTATAACCACTCCCCTAAGACTGTTTATAGCCTGTACCATGTTTCCTATCTCAGTAAAAGTTACCCACCACTTACTCAGTGGCTTGAGCCTAAAACTTAGGAGTCATCTTTCATTCCCTCTCTCTGATCTAATCTGATTAGTGGGTACTGTTGATCTGTCTCCAAAAGTATATCCTAATCCATCTACTTCTCTATCTCCACTGTCTCCACCCTAGCCCAGGCCACTGTGGTAGTCTCTCAGCTAGGCTACCACAAACTCACTGCTTCTGAGAACTGAGAATTCTTATAGGCCACATAACTTAAATAAGGCTGCTTACAATGACATGACTTTAATATTTGTTCCAGAAATTTCTTGCCCGGGAAGATAAGACTGCAAACCAGTAAATAACTTCATTATTTGCTTCAGGAACTTGCTAAAAATCAATTTATCTGAACAATAGACTGCTCAGACAGCCCCCTTCTCAGGACAATAGTTTGTTTAACCTGGCAAACCACTAGCTTATCAAACAACTGTTTATTTTTAAAGACTCTCCCCTTGCTGTGTGCTCCAATCCTGAACTGTTATCTTGCAAAATTTGCCCAGTCCCAGTCAGATCTCTTTATTAAAGGATCAGTCTTAAACCAGACCTCAAACCCTATAAATATCTCTTTACCTGGAAAGTGCCTCCCCAAACTTTGTCCTTCCCAGAGTGGCTCCTTTTCCTTCTCTGTCTCAACACAAATGTCCCTTCCTCCATCTTTCCTCCTCCCCTCCCTAAAATCATCTCCTACCCCCATCTCCCACCTTTATTCCTTTAGACCCCATTTGCTTCCTTCATATCACAACAAGTGATGCTTATTTTATTGGTTTTATGTTTTCTTGTGCTTTTCTGTCTACCCTTAAACTGTAGGCTCTGTGAGAAAAGAAACTTGTCTGCTGTACTTTTCATTTAATTTCCAGAGCCTACAGGAGATGCTTAAAAAATCTTTGCTGAAGGAGTATAAATATTCCTTATTTATGGAGAAGTCATAAAAGGATCAGAGTCACAGACTGGTGTGAATTACTCTCCTCACGGTTACAGGAGCAGGGCCGGGAGAGACGCTCCAGGAGAGGAAGTGAGCTGAGAGCACACGGAAAGCCCTGTCTCACTGCTTTGCCTGCAGCCCTTCCTGCTTCCGGCCGACCACCGCGACCTCCGGAATGCCATTTTCTCTGTGAAGCCTCGAGGCGGGAGCTTGTGTTTTGGGGGTCAGGGTAAGCCCAGGCTAGCAGAGCTAGTTTGGGCACCAGCTCTTCCTCCCGCTGACCAAGGAAGTGCTTTTCTAGATCCCTATAGTCAGACACTGGAGTCAGGAGTAAGTCAGGAGTGCCCCCGTGGTGCACGGGTGGGCTTCAGCTTTCACGGCTGGCACTCCCTTCCGGCTGACGCTGGTGGGCCTCTACTTGGTTCTATCTGAATTCTTCCAGAAAGTCATCCTCACTCTTAATTACTGTGGAAGCTAATCAAGAAGATAACAAGTGGATTCACAGAATGTTTCATTTGCCTATCAGAATCTGAATAAGGTCTGGAAGGAATCATCCTTCTAGAACCATCTCCTCCAGCTCCTCTCTCTGTGCACAGAAAGGAGAGGTATCTTGCCCAACTCTGGTACCTTATACGCATAATCTCCTTTAATCTCTCAACAGGTCTGTGAAGATGGGAACAGTTCCATTTTACAGATTAGGAAAATGATAAGAGAGGGGAAGGGAGGTTTCCAAGACCACATAGTGAAGGGGCAAGAGGTGACATTTGAATCCAGGTTTCTGGCCCTCAAATCCAGGCTTTTTCTTCTGTACCACCCTGCTCCACTTCGCATGGGGTCCTTAGACTCCGAACCATATACACTAACACTTGAGTATTATTTAACAGCCTAGATTCTAGCTTAGACCCCAGAAGTACAAACAACTCTTTGCTTCTTATGTGAAAGTCAACCTCCTGTCAGCCAACAGGAGGACTTTCTCCCATGTAAGGGTAGGCCCATATCACTCTCAACCCATATCACTATCTCTTGACACACATGCATGCATGCGAAGACGTGACCCCACTCAGTGCATGTGCTCTTGCGTGTGCTAATGCTATGACTGGGGTCCTTTTCATACACACACACACGCACACATACACTCGTGCGTGCTTCTGAAACTTCATTGCTCCATTCTTCACATGTGTAGCTACTATGGGGAATCATGCAGGGGGAAAAGGGCTGGTGTAGTCACTCTCACCTCCCGAACTAGCACGCATTTACTCTGTAAGTCTAATCACTAGTAATCCTAAAAGTTAGGGATAAAAACCAAGTCGCTTGTCTCAGTGATCAGCTGGAATGGGTGCACTGCCAAGACAGCCACCTCCCTCTGAGAGGGCACCTGCCAGACACACACACACACAAACATGCACACGCGGCACATATGCACAATGGCTGTTTTTTTTTTCTCTTTCTAGTCTTTCCTATCCTTTCCCATAGAGGAGGGGGTCACTGGGCCCCACCTCAAAAGGCACTTGCTTGAGGGACAGAGGGACAGAAGTGAAG